AGGCTAAAGCACTTACAGATTTTATCCTTGACCAAGGTTCCTTGTAAGCTGCATGGCTGCCCAGCTGTTTAATGAGCCCTGCCCAGAGGCTCAGAGTTCCCATGCAGGGAGCTCAGCTGACAGGCTGGGGAAGGAGCCCTCTCACTGAGCGGCAGCAGCTCCCTGCTACAAACGGAGGAGCTCAGAGAGCAAGTAAGGGACAGGAGGAAAGGAGGGAGTAAGTGGCTGAGGGGGAAGGAGGTCTGAGAGAAGGGGAGAGGAATTTATGGAGTCCCTTCTCCTGGCTGGGCAGCCTGGAGAGGAGAGGAGAAGCAGAAACCCAACATTCTCCTCAAGCAGACTGCATGGGATAGATGGGGGAAAATAGGGATAGGGGTGCTGGCACTGAGGTGAGGTAGGGTGGAGTTTGGTTGTGCCATGTTCTGATCTGACTCCCACCTCGGCTGCTAGTGCCTGCAAGTCTGAGAAGCAGAACTTTATCCCAGCCCCCAGCTGGGCCTGTGGGGAGCTGACTGCACAGGGGTAGGCGAAGGAAAAAAGGGGTGGGTGGATACTGGCATCTGTGCCTTGAGGCAGAGCTTAGGGGGGGTTGTTTGGGGTGTCCTGACTCACTTGCTGTAGTCTAGATGGGAGAGTGAAACCCTCTCTGGCTGGGTTAGACACTTTTATAACCCTATATCAATCTAATTGTTGTGTAGACCAAACCTAGTAGTCATGGAAGGCATTAGAGTTTAAAGCTGCTCTATACACAGTCCAATTAGGGAAGCTGATAATGCCAGGCTCTTGGGAAGTGTTCGGGGGAATGCAGGCTGCATGGGTTGTATGTGTGCCAGGACATTTTCATAATTATGTTTCAAACGAAGTTTACACAAGTATTAATGGCTTAACATAAGAAAGAAGAAGATTCTTTTAACAGAATTTTTTGGAGTTTTATAGATATCTAAAACTCTGATTTCAATTATTTTTTTAAAATCCTGTGTTACTAAATAATACATGGTAAATTTTATTGCATTAAGGCCAAATCTTTGCTATCTGGTAGAATTCTGGCTATTATGAGGCAGAAGTAGCAGGTACTAGGTGTGATGCTAGTTGTTTTGTAGGATGAAGCCTTATTTTAAAGCTCTTTGAAATATGGATCTATCTACAAACCCTGAAGTCATGTGTTAATTTGCTCTGGGGCTTCTACTCTTTGAATTGGTGACACACATAATGTAAAAGTTTCAAACTAGGAGAACTTACCTATTTTTCCAGATCTGTTTCACTTACATTTGTATACCATGGATGCAAAACATTCCCATCTCATCTAAAGTGGGTTTTGCCCACAAAAGCTCATGATACTATATTTATATTTTTTGTTAGTCTCTAAGGTGCCAAAGGACTATTTGTTATTCCCCAGAGAAACTGTACAAACCTGAGTGAATGCCTTTTACTCTCCTTTCCAGTGTCAGTAAATATTGTATTAATATTTGCAAGGATAGCATGACTATTTCTAGTTGACTTAGATTTGTTTAGCATCTTAAATCTGAACTATGTGCGGATAATATGCATTTTGGTGTGTTTACTAACTTGAGTTGTTAGAAAAGCCGGCAATACATTACCCCAAACGTAGTGGGGAAGCAACTAATCGAGTCACTACTCGACTATTCAGCTAGTCACTTACATCCCTAATTTGAACTGTTGAGGCTTGCTGATACCTGTGAACGACTACAGAAAAAGGGCCACATGACCTTCTTTTAAAGCCTAATTCTGCACAGTTGAGAGTTTGATGTTATACTGCAAAGTGACCTGACAGCACAGCAGGATGCAGACGCCTAAATTTCACCATTATTTTCACTCAGCCTGCCTTCAAAAACCAACGCGAGCTCATAATGACACCCAGAAGTTAAATTTCCTATACGTTTTAGTTTAACAAACCATACATATTTTACTACACTGAATCCTTGGAATTTAAAAGCTTATTCATCGTTCAACTATTGTGTTTTAAGAACATAAATTTCCTTTCTTGAAAAGGTGTAACTGCTGTCGTATGCTCTAGGCTCATCGGTGTAAGAACTAAGAATTCAAGAGTTTGTCAGCTCATTCAGCTGCTAGCTCACCATTTCCCAAACCTCTGAGAGCAGTGCTTCCATTCATAAATATGAAGTCAGACAGAAGGGCTTTAAACTAACTAGCAGGGAGAAGGATTATAAGCACGGAAACAATGGTACTAATGTTCAAATATGTAAACCTTATGCATAACACAAAACAGTCTATGGGCACATGAGGAACATTTAATCATTTGTTACATACAAACAAAATGAAGCACCAATGAAGATCCATGTATAAAATTTAAGAAAATTACAAGGGGAGCCATAAGAAGCAATAAAATTCCATAGCTAATGGGGTTACAGATCATAAGAAGGCATTTTCTAAACATAAAAAAACAAGAAAAATCTTGGGCAGGTGTAGGTTCATTGCTACATACAATTAGTAAAATTGCAAATAGTGACACAGAAAAAGCAGACAACAAGTACAAAGCTATTTGTATTCTGTATCTGGAATAAAGCAAGATGAGGTACCCGTTTCATAACATGTCATGAATGGGACAGAAATTTTACCACCTAGAACAAAGGAGTATGTAATACAGCAACTGCTAATATTAAATATTCAAATCGATGGGCCCAGATAACTACCCACAAGAGTCTTAGAAGAAATCTGTGAGGAGCTCCTTAAACCACTGTTAATTGTTTTTTAACACAATGCTGGGAAACTTGAGAAATTCCAAAGATCTGGCAATGTCGCTCCTATATTTTAAGCAGGCAAAATGTGGCCCCGATAACTACAGACCAGTTATCCTGACACCAATCCCCCAGTAAAATAATGGACAGTAATTCAGGACCATCTACAAATAATTAGTGTTAATTATCTGTTTTGCTGCTAGTCAATTAGATTTCTTGAAAGAAAACAGGCCTTGTCAAAAGTCTTGTCTTTGGAAAAGGGGGGGAAGAAACATGATTACATGTCTGGGTTAATAAAAACAACTCTGTTGATTCCGGACACCTAGGTGTCCCCAAAGCATTTGATTTAGTCCAATAACACTGATGAAAAAATTGCATTGTATAAAATTAAGAGAGTACACATAAGATGGATTAAAAACTAGCTCATTCCTCTAATGCCCACTTGACTGGCTGGACATCTCCTTTTATGTTGTATTATACATCTTACTTAGTGACTTTCATAAGTAATTCAAGATTCTCCAGGCAGACATTAGACATTCTCCAGCCAGATATGACATGCACGAGGTTAGCACAGAGTAAAAGGGGGGAGGGTAATAGCCATGCCTCCCATAATATGGGCGTGGAAAGGGCAAAGGAGCCATGCTTTGAATGTACATGGGAAGAGAAACAACTAGAAAAGCCAATGTGAGTGTAGATGACCTCAAAGAACTGGGAACTCCAGGTGTTTGTGGCAGCAGGCTGCAGCCATGCCCAGTACACATTAGGCTGGAGCATGTAGAAACTTGTCAGTGAGAGCCTAACATCATGCTGAGGATATGCATGTGTGGGCAGAAAAGTGTGCAGGAGCAGGCTGTGGGTGAGGAGTTATGTCCATGGTTGTGTTTGATGGAGAAGTATCCAGGGAAGAACAGAAAAGAGTAGGAGGGAGAGAAGGAACACAACACAGGAAATACACTCAAAGTGTGTGAAAGAGAATGAGAAGCAAGAGTCATGACCAGGAGATACATGTCTATAGGGAGGTTGAAGGAAGTGGGGGTGCAAAAACCAGGACAGGGCATATGTCCAGAGAGAGGATGAAGGAGCTGAAAGGGAGAGTGGTTATGTCCAGCATCTCAAAGAAGGAAATGAAAGTGTTGAGGGGGAGGGAGGTGGGGCCAGGGACCATCAAGGATTAGAGGAAGAGTGAAGGAGCTAGGAAAGGGGAGCCAGGGCCAGATTTCAGGGGGAAAGTTTAAAGAAACTTGGGGGGAACATGGCAAAGCTATGCATGAGGCAGGAAAAGCACAGTGGAGGAGTGGGGAAAAGACCATAGCCAAGATGCACATAGAGCAAGGACAACACAGCTGGGGGCAGGAAGCAGAGATAGCACAGCTGGGGGGTGGGGCAGGTCAGGCCTGGGAAGGAAGAGGCAGGGACAGCACAGCTGGGAGAGTAGGTTGTGCCCTGGATGGGGGAGAGAAAGGGACAGTGCAACTGGGGGAAGAGAGCAGGTCAGGCCCAGGGGGAAGAGGGCAGCTCAAGGCCTGGGGAAGGGACAGAGACAGCACAACCTGGCAGGAGGTTAGGCTCAGGGGGCAGGAACAACACAGCTGGGGGGGGGGGG